GTGTTTCTCTGTAGATCCAGCAATTGTAGGCTGAATGCACATGGCAGTCGAAAAGTTCATTGTTGCTGGCATTGTGGGCTGTTGTACTTCTCGGTCGCCCGGTCCAGAGTAGGCCTTGTTCGAGGGGCACTCTAGCTTTTGCGCAACCAAGCGCGGACTGCAAGGCACAGCGATATTCCAGATGATCCGATGACCAGTACTTGGTTCATTCGCCTCTTCTGGAACTTACCGAACTGATGATGTCGACAAGGATCAATGACCATATTTAGTGGCAGCTCACACTCGCCACGTCACGGCGCTGTCCACAGGTATGTGTGGAGTACTGTTGCCAAGAGTTAAACCCATCACATCCTCGAGCGCAGCCCCTGATCTTCCATAACCGCTTATTCGGAGGGCCGAGGCCTATCTTATTCATTGTTGGCTGCGAGATGACGGCAGTTCCTCTATCCGCGACCTTAGAACGAGATCGGAAACATACAGCTCTGCTCTCCTGAGCAGCCCTTGTGGGCACTGGAAATGAGCAGCTCTTTAGGCGAGAATGCGCACTTAAATTGATTATCTAACATGCTGCATTCTTGGTGATGTTCTAGGATTTGCTTTAGTAGAAAGTTGTTATGGACACGAATGTTCCATCGAGGAGAACCACACTAGGTTGGACGTTTTATTGGGTCTTCTTCATTATTACATCGCGGTGAGTAGATAGTTTTCAAAACTTCGACACCTACCTCGATGGAAACGGGTACAATTGTGCTCTGTACAACTGTTTGTTTTGTCCATTTTCGCATAGAAAACCACAAGGGTATAGTCATATCCTTGTGAGAAATTTTCGTATCGTGCGACTAAGTGTACATTAGGTGGGCTCATTATAGTTGAGTGCCAAACCTCAAAGCTTTTGGAAAAGATGCTGTCTACTTAAATTGAGTCTTTTTTGAAGCTTCATGATGCCAGCAGCGACTCCCGTTCTGTAAGATGGATTTCGCATAGCTCGCTAAAGTATAGTGGTACATACAGTTGGGTAGGAGGGAACAGGATGACAGGTGAGCAGATATTAAGCTGCTTCTGATTGAACTTTTGTTCGAATTTGTCTAGAAGGATGACATTTTGACCGAGTAGTAAACTGAACAATGTTACTGGTGTTCCTCCAAAAAATCGGTTTGATTGATCATCCTCCTCCTCATCATCGTCCGAATCATTCGAATCATTCAAATCATCATCATCACATCATCCGAGTCATTTTCATTATCGCATTATCAGAGTTATCATCAACAACATCATCATCATCATCTGAGCCATCATCATCCGAGTCATCATAACCGTCATCATCATGGTCATCATCATCACCATCATCATCATCATCGTACAGCTAGCTACGGTGAAGGGAACTTCACTGATCATTTGAATAAGGAAAACGTTTTTATAATTACCAATAGCGAATATTGGACAGCTGCTATCCAGCTGTTAAAAACCGTCAGTTCACTTTGTTCCTATCAGTGCAGGAACCGTAAAATTTCGGTTTATAGGCCAAAAGGCCTACAACGAACTGTGCGATTGACATTGGCCAGCCTGCGCAAGCGGATAGTAGTTCACAACATCAAAATAGAGATTATTTATCGGACATTGCAATCATTTACTCCCATACAGGTTATTCGCCACGGTTTTTTTGCCAAAAGGCATGCACTCTGCCCGTTACTAGTATAAGTAAGATTTTATATGCACTGTTCATGTGAACAGGTAAAGCTGAAAGCGAGAAGGGTTCAGGTTTGTTGGTTGTTTCATTGGCTTTTCCTCTCTGGAAAATTACAATCAGTCGGCATGTGATACTGTCAGTTGAAACGAAAGCTTCGGGGTCGTTCTTGCAGACACAACCAACCACTCTTGATGGTGTCTGTGCCTACAAGTCGGCACACGCACTGTTCCTTGCATACCTGTCTGCTCGCGAGAGATCACGGTCACATACCAATTGTTAACTGATTTAACTAAAGAACAAACCATTTATACTCTGGTAAACTGAAACATACTTAAAGCGAATAACACGGAGCAGAAATCGCTGAGGCCATTAAACTGTACACGAGCAATGATTGCACGGGGCGGTTTCATCTTAAGCATCTGCTTGAGCCTACTGGCTGCTGGGCCGATCCTTATACGTATGCCAAGTGGTTGTTTTATAGTGCAAAGATAAAATGGGGAATTTTTCTATTCTTGACTTGAATTGACGTGATTTGTCTGCGTTATATTTTATCTCCTATTATTTTCCAAATAATAGCATTCCATTTCCCCGTCAACTGTATGCACACAGTTTTTTACGCCTATGTTCAAAGACGATTTTTTCTGGTAAAAGACTATGTTTTACTTCTATTTCAGATGGAGCCCATTCTGAGGTACTGGAATCCTCAGGTAAGTTTTACTGTGTGCATTTCACTGCTGCAATCAGGACCGTATGACTTGATTTAATTGATGGATTCGCCATAGATTAGAATATTCTGACCGCTTGCGCTGATTTTCTGTGTTTCCCTCAACTCGCTCGTTTATTTATCAGGTTATCTGACTGTTGCCAGCGGGGCTAAGAGTAAGATAACGGAAAGAAAACCTTGAAGATATCAGGTAACCTCAGTAATCACAATAGCATCACACACTTTGAGCTCTTCAACACAGCCTACAATGAGTCGCCGGGAAATTGCTGTTGACGTTTGTGGCAAGTGGAACAATAATCAATGTTTTGTTTAAGCAATTGGCTGACCACGCGAAACACTTGAATTAATTGTGCCTCAACCGTGTTCGATTACGGTCAGTTTTAAGCATAGCTCATTCTGTTCGACGTGAAGAATGTCACAACTGCACGGTCGGAGTAACATTGAGATGGCGAGCATTCATTTTGGATGATCGATATCTCAATGTTTTTTTACTAAGATTTACACACCAAATGATCCCGAGGAAACTTATCTACTACTCCTTTGATAATGAAGTGTGGTTTAGAAATGCCATTGTCCAAATAGATTGAAGTGTGATAATACAACTGCGGAAGCGTTTATAATGTTGGCCCTATCGCATGTTCCTATAGAATTCTCGGTATCATAGTTTAAGCATAACCATAAGGATACGAAATTTCAGAACTCAGGGTTTCCAAATGAAAGCTCAACGGAGTAATCAACGTTTATTGCTTAGAATTTGAATAATCAGAAAATTAATGATGTTAAACAGGAAACTGTTTATTGTTTGCAATACAGTACAACTGAGATGTGTTTCTTCCAACGGTTCAAAAAGGGCTCATTCATAGTAAAAACCGACTGTTCAAAGTTGTGATATCTGCATCAGCCATCCACGAAGCTATCTTGATAGCTAATCCTCCATCGCTGCATGGAATACCACTTAACTGTTGGGAGCAGGAGAGGAGAGGCGTAACATTGAAAGTTCTTGCCTTATTCTACATCAGCATATTGCCTGCAAACATGATAAACCTATCATAGTGCAAAACACCAATCAATTGTGATGTGAAATGTCCTCAGATATCTCGAGAACCGATAAGCTTCCAAAATATTTCCGTCAGAAATATGCCTGAAAGAGAACCCTTCATCGATATTTGATAAATGCATAAGTAAAATGTCGCAAAAAAGCGTTCAAAAAGTCTCAAGAAATAAACCGCATTAATAGGTGGACAGTACTAAGATACCAAAAACGTTTGCGAAACAACCTTCCACTCAAGTTTTCCGAGAAATTAAATGAGGTATTAAAGCGGTTTTCCATTTCAAGAAAAAATCTGAGAGATCTAGATAACAATACACACCGGAAAAAGCAAACATTGCAATAAAAGTCCGAAGTCCGAAGAAAAAATTTATTCAAAGGAAAGCACAGAGACTAACGCCGCAGTCTCACTATAAGTAACCTTGCTTCTTCAAAACCTGTGATAAGTTCAGGTTTAAAGCCTGAGGAGTACCACGTATAGTCCGGTGTGAAATTTGTAATTATTAAAATATACATATATATATATATCTACATGTATAAATTCATAGGAAATGTTCATTGATCAATCCGCATCCACCACAGAATTGGTAAACTCCGGCGCCTGTCTTTCGAATTCGAAATCTCAGGCAGTTTCGCGCATCCCAGTCAGTTATTTCTACTTTTGTTTATCAGTGTGTTCTCTCCATTCCACTTTACTGTTCCCCAGTTATTTTCCTGGGCTTATTCAGAAAGGACCTCAAAGTCTTACGCCGCGGTCTCACTATTATTAGCCGTGTCTCTTCTATTCCTGTGATTGGGTTAGCTTTAAAGCTTGAAGAGTATCACGTAACTTCCTGTGTGAAATTTGCTGAGAGGATTCTCACACATCCTGACCACTCATTGCACGCAGAACTGACATGTCGTCGTCAGCATCATTCGACACGCTCCCAAACATCTCGAATTACCGCTTACCGCAATTCAACTATACCATATCTTGCTCGTTTACTCACAAACAAAGAGAGGAGAATAATTGAAATTTGTCTTATGCGCTTGTATTATGAAATGTCCCCATATCTGTAAGAAGATTCCCCCTGTTGATTATTTACTTTGTGACGATTGGCGTGTATGCTTTTTAATTGAGATGTGAGCTCCATTGGTTGCAAAAGTTATACTCAATGCAATACAATACAGGTCATGTGTTTAGACGTGTACTCATATTGAGCATTGTGACAGATCGATTATGCAGAATTTTCTCCCACCTAGACATCAGGGATATGGGCGTGTAATGCGGGGCTTAGCGGAACTTCTGTTAGTTCAGTTCCATCGCAGATTTATACAACACACAGAAAAGAATGCCACCACTTTGTATACAAATGAGTGAATGAAACCCATTTTGTGCACGTACGAAGCAAAAGGGGTTGAAAGCCACTAAAACAGTGACCTTCCCTTTCAGTGAACAACACTTCAACCCCAGTTGTGCTCGATCAGAAGCCAGAGAGCAACACAAACGAGACTGAAGCAAATAATGTGTTAGATTCACCTACTGAGCACAAGTTATCTGAGGACACGCAGACGACTTCGAATGCGACTGACATAATCGTGAATTTGGACAAACAAGGTGCACAGGACAGCGGTTCATATCGTGAACTGGAGAAGGAGATCAACACATTGGTTGATCGCACCGAACAGCCGTTTCGAGGAGATAATGACCAGGAGCGTGAGGCCGATGAGCGTGCAGGAACCCAGGAACATAGCACAGAAAGTGAGCAAGTAGCGATGGTTGTTGACTGTACATTGACGGGTATGATGATGTCACAACCTAGCATGATGGTGATGTTAATTGATCTTGTGTTCACTGTGGACGTAATCTTTGGTTCTTGATTGCTCAGTGAGTCGAACAGTCCCCTCGCAATCCCTGCAAGCCTATTAGATCCACCTTGGACGCAGTCTCCACCCTTAATCGTTCGACCACTGAGTTTTTGAACAACTCCGTTAAATCTGTTCGGTGTTTTTCTGGAATACTCTTCAACATTTGATTCCATTCCTCGTTCTAATTTGTTACAAGAACCGGAATCGTGTGAATGCCCGAAGCACTTGTTAGCTTCGCCATCCATCTATTTTACTGATAGAGTACAAACCACTAGATTGAGTATAGCTTCATCTAAACTCTTAGTCAACAACTCCGGAGTTATTTAACGAGCTGTGCCAACCCATTTCTTCTTACTCCGATCTAAGCTCCTTCATCGACAATCTTGATCAATTTCCGTCATTCTTCCACTCATCGGGGCTAACCTTAAACCCCAGTAAATGTGTTGACTGTTTACACAGTTTTGTTCGCTGACCATATACGACAGATCACAATCATTTATGTATGGTGAACTCTGTCACATATCCCGGTGTAACTATATGAATATATATATATATCTATATAAGTATATATATACAAGTATATATATATATATCCACATGTATAAATTCATAGGAAATGTTCATTGATCAATCCGCATCCACCACAGAATTGGTAAACTCCGGCGCCTGTCTTTCGAATTCG